GTCAATACTAAAATGTGCTACAACAAGAGAAAATGTGATCACCTACCGGCACCAACGCTGATTGCAAAATGGCTGTGCAGAAGGGCGCACTCTGCTGTAGTCAATACGAAATTACTTTTTAGCAGCACTCCTCCGCAGAAACCCTTCCTTTCTGAGTTTAGCAGCAGGACCTAAGAAAATGCAAAAAGATGATAGATAGCACTGTCCATGTGAGATTGAGTGATAGGTTTCATGGATTGCTAGAAATACCTGCCAAGGAAATCGCTCGTCACGTTTCTTCCTGGTTTCACTTATCAGATTATCACCATCTTGAAGTCTCCCACATGCACATTGATCTAGCAAATTAATTAAAAAAAAATCAAAACCTCATGCTGTATCATTTCAAGACAGCTAATACCTGCAAATACCTTATTGCTTGTCTTGACTTCGGGGATTGTTTTTTGCACCAAGGAAAAGGACAATCTCAGCTGGTGAGAATTGGAATAATTCATTTGGCATCTGTAGTCTAATAGATCAGCGATGGCACCGAACATTTTGCGTCATTGCCTTAGGCTTGTGGTGACCAGATTTCATTGTGTCTGTAACTAATGAAGTGAGGCTTCCTCTCCAGCCAACCATTACCACAGCTTGCTTCCTCATTTTTGTATCCTGTATCTGAATTGCGCCAAATGCCTGACAGCTCTGGCCCGATCAGGACAAGGTAATCCTGGGTTTCCTTGTTAAAGCCGTCACTCTAGAGATGCGCATGCCTTTGTGTTCTGGTTCAGACAGCAAGTATGCTTTTCAAGTGGATCCCCCAGTTACCTGCATTTATCACACTTTCTGTTCACCTCGTGGCATGGTCTTGGGTCACACAAACTGGATTCTGTTCAGGTGAAGCTAAACCAGAAGACACCCTCCAGGAGCACATTTAACGTGCTCTCATAACTAATGGGTGCTTAGTCCACAGGACCAAACTAGAGCTAGTCTGAAGTAAAACCCACCTGAAATGTGCATTGAGTGTGGACATCAAGCCTTTATCACCAAGAGTGTGGCTGTACAGCTCAACTCCTATTTGGCTGCCCTACTTGCTAATATAGACAAGGGCCTAAGTATACTACTGTGTTTTTAGTAGACCTAGTTTATAAGGGGATGAGGTTGAATGAGGTACCTAGTGTGAGATTGAAAAAATGAAGAGGGCTACTGCTTCAAACCAATTGACATGGCAGCGAATGTTGCCCTTCATTTATCAGACCATCAGGTGCCTGATGGGAATCAGTTGAACCTCATTCCCCAACAGACAGGCCTTCAGTGGAGTTACTCTTTACCGAGCGTAGGAGTGGAAAACCTGGCCCAGTGAGTGATACGTAGGATGATGCAAGTCCTCTCTGCAGACCGATGTTTAAACATTCAAATCAAATATTGCTTCTTTTACCACTGCTCTGTCATCTTGGGTGGTGGTCCCTAGATTCCTCCTTTTTCTGCCCCCTTGATAATATTCTCATCACTTGAGTCTCCAAGCAGGCTGATCGCATCTGGATATCAGATGGTGGCCTGCCCACCCCAGCACTGAGCATGTGCCCCCTTGTACTTCCATGCTCACACCTACCTAACGCGATGCACTGTTTTTTGTCCTTCCCGAGCTCATAGCCATCAGCACAGGAGCAACGGTAGGAATTACTTCCCGGGTAGCAGAAGTGGTGACATCCTTCTTTTGCTTGGTGGCGACATTCATTTTTAGCTAAACAGAACAAGTGGAGGAAAAGCATTGGGAACAGTTCAGCTGGAGTTTTCTTGCATAGCTTGAGTCCTCTTTACTAAGCATTTTATGTTTACTCGCTTTATGTGGAGGTGGGTAGGGACTCCGGCTTGGTAGTATTTCTCACCACATTGTTTTTCTCCTTGTTAAGCAGAAGTTGGAGACAGCTGAGTCTCTGCAGCTTCCACAGGCTTGCTGCAAACTGTGCTCACCCAGCACTTCCCTGCACCAGACTGGCTGCACCTCTGAGTTTTGGGGAGCGTCAGTAGCCAAGGGCCAAACTAGGCCTTCCATGTGAATCCATGGAAGGATGCCATGGGTTTTCCTTCTGCTCTTTTAAATGAAACATTAAGTGTCTGCACTGGGGGGGACCGTTGCACGTGTTAAGAAGGCGGGTATTGCTTAAGGAAGAAAAAGGCTAAAGCTTTCTGCTTTTCAGCAAAAACAAACGCATAGCTCCTATTTCTCATGCTTGTGCTAAGAAAATTGAAACTAACAGCTGCCAAAGATAAGCAAAAAGAAAGGGAGTATTAATCACCTTTGAAACATTCCCAGTCAACTTTCCGTAGCTGAGCAAACACTTAAGCTTCAGCACGAAGCAACAGGAGGAACAGCCGTTTCATGGTGGATCTACCTCACAGATAGAGAAGTAGCAAAAAACCCCACGTAAAGTCACTCTCTAAGGCTCATGCTGAGCAGATCCAGTTGCCAGTGCTGGTCTGAGCCGTGTCACCTTCTGTGCTCCCCAGCAAGCTGGTCTGTCTCTGCTCAGTCACACCCCTTACACAGAAAATGGCCCTGCCTTGCGGCAGCCGGGGTGTCTCCCGGCCCAGGGGACCTCTGAGCCAGCAGAAATACTGATGTAAGGGCTGGAAAGTAGAACCTGGCAGATGTAAAAATGTAGGATCCGGCCCAGGGTGTTCTACGTGCCAGAAAGCGTCCCTTTTGCTTTACGCCTTTTATACTTCCACTGAAAACGGTCTGTTTTCTGGAGTCCCCCTGTCCTGGGGGACTGTCTTGTGGGTGCGTGTGGCCTCGGAGGCACTGGGGTGGCTGGGAAGCCACCGCGGCACCGCAGCCCCGGTTCTTCAGGCCACGTGCTGCTTGGGACCACGGCAGGACAAGCAGCCGGGGAGCGTGGGTGGCAGTGGGCAGGGCTGCCTTTAGAGGCCAGCCGTGAGGGGGACTTGCTTCAGCCCTTTTGCTGCATCCCCAGGGAAGGGAGGCTCAGGGGGAAGAGGCAGCCTGCGTAACCTTGGCATGTCATAACGTTTCGGTAGACAGGCAGCACAAATCACCCCTGCTCTGCCAAGAGCTGTGTGTTTTAACCTAAAAACTGATAACTGGCTGTAATGGGAGAGCTGCATATGGTTTCCCGGGGACCCCCTATGACAGGAGGAGATAGGGATTCTCAGAAGAAGGGGGCGATGCCTTACCAAAAGCACAGTTCTCTCCCTCGTAGCCCTCGGCACAGGTGCAGGTGTAGCCACGAATGCTGTCCTTGCACACGCCGTTGTGCTGGCAGGGGCTCGATGAGCACCTCCTGCCACCTGCAGAAATGCCACAAGAGAGGGGGGAGTCACCACCACCGCTGACCCGAATTACGCAGCCCCCTACCCGGCACGCAAGTCGCTCGGAGAAGCATTGCGAAAAGCAGTTTGGAAGGAAATGGGCTACGTCTCACCAAACTGCTCCTCGGGAGTAATTTTAGCCCAGGTCTCTGCTTCCAGAGGTGCTCCCGCAGCCCCTGGCAGGGAGGCCGGGAGATGCCCAGAGGCAGAGCCTGCTTCTGGAGGACGGATGCTCTGCTTCAGGGAAAAGCGCTGACTTACAGCTCATGTGCTCGTTACGAATGTAACATGAGGCTGGCGTTTTAGGTCTCCCGTGTTAGGTTGATATGTATATGGCTAAAAAAATGATTATATGCACATATGGATTAAAAAAAACGGCATCAAAACTACACAGCGAGCAGCATCAAACTAGGAGGAAATCTGGCTTTTACACATCTGTACAATTATTATACAGCAGCTTGGACACTAGCAAGCTTAGTCTTTCCAACAAACCAAATGTTGAAACCAGAGGATGCCTCACTATAGGTGAAGCACCAGGCAGAGCTGCCAGTTTCCCTTTAAGCTGCCCACTGGAAACACTCCAAACCAGTTTGGAAATGTTTGCCAAATAACTGCGTATTGTAGACATGAGCAATCAGGGAGCAAGCCAGAAAAGCCTAACCCGGGACATGCTCTCCAACTTTTCTAAAGTTTAAAACTTCATCAGAGAGGTTAACTTCAGTCAGCAGGCTGCCATAATTAATATCAGGGACGGAAAGGTGAAAACTCTGCCTGGTACTGCGAAAAAAACCCAACCACCATCTGCTCAGGCTATGGGCACGTGTATCTCAGCTTCAGCGGCACTAAAATAGTGGCTTAAAGCAGTTACCACCTTCAGCCCACCTGCAGTCACATGCCACCAGCATACCTCAGCACAATTTAGGTGTCCTGGGAGGGTTTTTGGGTGGGTTGGGGGGGGTCTCATCAGCACAGCTGAGCAGGTAGAGTTGAGGAGTGAGGACCTCCAGCAGCAGCAGCAGTGGGTAGCTGGGGCTAAGGAAGGGCTGCACCTACAGCCTGAAGCAAGTTAGATGGTTTCAAGCCTCTGAAATGCATGCTTAAATATAGGTAAGGAAGTCTCAGAAAATGTCTGGGGTCAGGTGAGGTTCTGTAAGACTGGGAAAAAAGTAAACCTAGCGCCTAGCTTTATTAAAGGAGGAAAGAGGAGGTTCAAGGAATTCTAGAGAAATCAGCATGATTTCTGTTACTGGAAAGCTACTGGAATGATTAAACTGTTTGTAAGCATCCAGCAAGAAGGTGGTAAGTAACAACTAACATGCATTTTTCAAGATCAAATAATCTAAACCAATTAAATCTAATTGTATTATAGGTTAAGGGACCTAGCGGGGAATCCGTGAACATCACAGAATAGAAATGTCTCAGACGGTGTTAAGTGAGTTAGGAAAACAGAGACTACTGTAAGGCATGCACAAAACTGTTTGGAAAATGATGTTTAAAGAGAGGTTATCAATAGCTAAGTTTATACTGTTAATAAAGCAGGGTCAAGGACAAGTGTGACCTCAGGCCAAGTGCCCTGCCAGCGTACATCCACGCTACAGCAAGATGCTGCTACATCAGCTTTGACTTGAAGAGACCAAGGTGGAGCAGTACAAAACAGAGCCAGCAGTTAGGTGGGTGCTCAGCCTTTCTCCCCAGCCCTCTTTTATTCACAATGCAGATTTACCCACTGTACGCTGGACTATGGAAGGAAACCAGCATGGATACCAGAGGTCTAGAAAATGAGATTTTTGGAAAACAGCATGAAAAAATGGCTTTGTTTAGTGAGGAGGAAAGAAGCCATGGAGATGCACGGCAACACTCTTCAAAACCTTAGAAAAGATACCACAAAGAAGGAAACACACACTGCTGTTCTGTAGGAAGAAGAAAGGACATAATGGCTTTTAATTACAGCAAGGAAGCCACCCCTGAGGCTGAAGCCAGTAATGCATCCTGATTGTGGCTAAGCTTGTTTGAACAGACCATTTTCAACCAGTTGCCCTTCTCTCTTCATAGACTGGAGAGGAAGCCTGCACGACATGTTTGTTACAAACATCCAATGGCTGAAATTAGGAGAAGTTAATCCCACCCTCACAGAAGTACTGAAAGGCCAGGTATTTAGCATCATTCTTCATAACATTTATAACACCCATGGGATTCTTCTGTGTACCTGTTCCCTGGACTCAGTGTTTTAGTGGCTTCTGCAGAAAATTAATACTAACTGCTGGTTTTGCCACCTCCTTATCCACTGTCTAAACCCAAGATTAGAAATGAATAAAAGCTAAGTAAAAAACAAGAGAAAACTCTTAGGATGAGGCATGCAGAAAGGAAGGAGGGAATAAGGCATAGTCACCATAAGCTGGTGCCCCAGGCTCCTTGTTCAGGAGGCATCTAGTTACATCAGCCCCTCAGCTTTTAGAGATTCGTTTCTTGCCTTGACAGCTGCCAAGGGATGATGTAGTGCCAGCTTTCAGAGTTTGCAGACAGCCCAGTAGCTTTTAACACCTACCTATCTCAGTCAGGTTTAAGTGCTAGGTTTGTATTTGGGAGGTTTTGCTGGTAAAGCTGTGCGGCTCTATTGTATCAGCAAAGCAGATTTTCTTGGGTCCCAGGTTGTTTCAGTTCAGCCTTAAGCTCAGGAAAAGGAATAACTTATTTACTATGATAACATCTACTAACCTTCAACTTTTATTCACTTTGCAGTCTTAAATTTTTTTTCCTATTTATGACTTTTTTAATCCTTTCACATCAAGACTTTTCCTCCTGCTTTACTACAGACATGGCAAGGAGTGACGGGGTGTTCCTTGTAGAATAAACTGCTAAAAACTCTCAGAAAACCAGCATTGGACTGAATCATAATGTTCATAGTATGACGCTGCTATGAAGGAGAGAAATCAAGAGGCCAGCTTACCATAGTAGGCATCCCAAAACATTTTCTGAAAAAAAAAAGGGGGGGGGGGGGAATTAGATTTTGATTCTCAAATAATATCATCTTCCATAAATATTTCCATAGAATCATAGAATAGTTTGGGTTGGAAGGGACCTCTAAAGGTCATCTAGTCCAACCCCCCTGCCGTGGGCAGGGACATCTTCAACTAGATCAGGTTGCTCAGAGCCCCGTCCAACCTGACCTTGACTGTTTCCAGGGATGGGGCATCCACCACCTCTCTGGGCAACCTGTGCCAGTGTTTCACCACCCTCAGCATAAAAAATTTCTTCCTTATATCTCATCTAAATCTACCCCCCTTTAGTTTAAATCCATTCCCCCTTGTCCTGTTGCAACAGGCCCTGCTAAAAAGTTTGCCGCCATCTTTTTTATAAGCCCCCTTTAAGTACCAATAGGCTGCAAGAAGGTCTCCCCGAAGCCTTCTCTTCTCCAGGCTGAACAACCCCAACTCTCTCAGCCTTTCTTCACAGGAG